ACACACACACACACACACATGCAGAAATGAATGCACACGTACATTTGTAAACATCACGTCGCATTGTGTGCTTTATCACTAAGTTGAGTTTTATTTGACTTGCGAGTTTCTGACTCTGTCTCTCTGTGTGTGTGTGTGTGTGTGTGAGTGCATTGATTACTCGCCAACTGGATGACAGCAGCCGGAGACGACTTAGAAACAGTAACCAGCAACAACAGCAACAACAACAACAGCAACAAGTGGCTGGCAACGTTTCTGATTGGACCTAGCGACCGACTGTCGATTGATTGAGCAACGTGCCCATACCTCACCCCCCGTCACCCTTTCCTTTTCCACTCCCCATTAACTATATGCCAGCGCCAGCTCATATTCCATTCCATATTCCATGCCATTCCTCATTTCCAACCCAGCTGCTTTTCTTGTTGCTCTGTTTAGGGGTAAAGCTTGCTGCATTGATGCAAGGGGTAGCTGTGTGCCAGAGCTGGTGGGTTGGGGTGGGAGGGGGGGAAGCGTCGCTGTTGACGTCGTGCAGTCGTCTGACTGGGCGCCCCATGTGTTAATTACCAAGTCAAATTTGCCTTGCGACAATTAAAAACGATCGACTTGTAGATGTCGCGGTTAAAGGGGGTTGTGGGGGGTTGGTAGGGGAGGGGCTGGGGGTGGGTCTGGATGGAAGCTGGCACTGAAGGAGGTAAGCATGAGTGTGTGTGTGTTTGCATGTGTGTGCATACGAGTTGTGTGTAGAGTTGTCAAAGTCTTTGAACAGGGTTGAGTGCAGGGACTGTGCCGAAGGGTAGCTGAAAGCGCAACAGCAAGAAGCAGATCTGATTGGAAATATTGAATAAGTTTGCCGTTCCCTGACGATGTGCATCGATAAGTTTATCGATTGTTTGTCCACACATTGCCTAACGATTGCTTGGCGCAATTGTCATCCATTGCTATCAATTGATTCTATCGTTATGATGGAATTTTTGTGGACGAGATCGTATGTTTGTTTGTCTCCATAGTTCACGTTGCGTTGTGCCGTAACGTTGAGGCTACATATCGATAATCGATTACATTCAAACGTGAATCGCGACACTTTCAAGCGATAAGCTGACTTGTGAGTTATCGATGCGAATCGATATCGATATTTTCTGACATGCAACCACATTTCAATTAATATATATTTGCATATATATTTAACTATCATTATTTTTCGATCTGTTGCCGTTAAATCTGTCGCTGCTGCTGCTGCTTTCCAATTAGACTTCCAGTTTTTGATAGCTGCTCGTAACTAATTGCTAATGTTATTCCCCCTTCCAGTCTAACTATATGTATGTACATATGTATGTATTTACGTGAGGTAAATATTTAAGCTTACATATCTAAGCGCCCTCTCCCCCCCGCTTCCTGCGGCAGCACCATTCCCTTTCAGCTTTGTTACCTGTTTCGTGCAGGTTATTGTTGTTGCTGTTGCTGTTGCTGTTGTTTTTGGTTTTAAGTTAGCATTATAAATAACACCTATAATAACTATGTATTCATTTTCAATTCGCATATTTGTACATACATGTGTAGACACCCGCGCGGCACCCACCCCTCTGCCACGGGTCGCCTTCTACCTGTTCCAAAGCTTCGATCTGCGTGTGTGTGTGTGTGTGTGTGTGTGTGCGCAGAATAAAGCGCGGCTCTGTTGCTCTCTCGCTCTAACGCGTACTCTCCGCGCGCGTGCGTCTGTATTGGTGTTAGCTCATCGAGGTTATGGATATTGCGTCGTTGACGTCGACGTCGACGTCGCAGTTGTTGTTGGCTTTATAAACCAGTTAGTCAGCCAGGCAGTCTTCAGCATCACACACACACACACAGCTAGGTAGGTAGGTACATTTGTGTGTGTGTGTGCGAACGTGTTTACGAGACAACAACAACAACAGCAACAACAACAGCAACAACAACGACAGCAGCCAAGCCAAGTCAAGTCAAGTCAAGCAACAAAAAATCTTACCTAATAGCAGCTCACATATATATTTACATAAATACACACACACACGCACACGCACACTTACACATTGTAATCATTTGTTATGCTAAAAAAAAAAAAAAAAAAACAAAAAAACCAAAAACAGAAGAAGAAGCAAACAAAAGAAAAACAATCAACAACAATAAAATGTCAAATTGAGAGCTGATGTGCCAAATTGAACCGGAACTTTGCCAAAGCTCGCGCTGCAGGCAGCGCAGCGACCGAGCAAAAAGGAAAAAAAAAAACCAAAACCAATAGAAAAAACCCAACTAGAATCAAGGCAAGGTCCAAGCTCGGCGCGAAAGCAACAGCTGCAACCGCAACATAAATAGCGCAACATGTCTGCAAAGCAAATGTTGCCAACAGCAGCAAAACTCACACACACACACACACACAAGTTAGAAGCCCGCAGACTGCAAAGAAAAGTAAACTTATTTTCATTTTCAAATGAAAGGGAAATTCTCACCTAGATGAAAGATGTGGCGAACAGCAAACCGCACACACACACACACACACACACACACACACACAGACAGACAGGCAGACAGAAAACTTGCCTGCCTATCCATAATAAATACATACATACATATGTAACATACACACGCACACAAGCGCACACATGCGTATATAGCGCAAAAAGCAAAAGCAAAAGCAAAAACCACAGCGGCGGCCACCTCCGCAGTCGACGTCGCAGCGGCAGCGGCAGCGGCAGCGGCGCTCTGATCTATTTGTCTGCTTTTCATTGTATGCCCGCCGGCGGCCATACACTCACTCACACCCTTACCACCCCTCTAGCCACTCTTAGACATAGAGCCGAAGCGTTCGCTGATTGCCGAATTGGGCACAGGGTATACGGGTATTGCGGGCTGCACTCTGTACTCCTGTTTATCTTGTCTTTTGTACACACACATACACATGCACATGCACACACATACACATGCAGAGATGAATGCGCGGCCAACTTGAAGTTGTTTTTGAACACGTTTGAGCGTTGCGACGGCGGCGTCGCACTGCCCCGCTTCCACTCACCAGCGATTGCCTGTTTCCATATGTTTGTGTGAGAGTGTGCGTGTGTGTGTGTGTGTGGTACTTTATGCAAGCAAAGCTTAAGCGACCGCAAATGATGCCGTAAGCGCGAAGTTGGTCATAACAGTCGTAAAAGTTTGCTAACTTGTTGCGCAGACTTGTTGCTGTTGGTGCAGCGTTGCCAGATTGTTGCCTGCAACAGCTGAGCCGCTGCTTGTCATGCATTGAACAGCATTCAACTGTAATTTAACTGTTGTAAAACCGAGTATAAATCAAATGAATGAGCGACTCAATGCTGAATGAAAGTCACATTGTGTCTGATGAGTGCGATAAATGGCAAGTGTTGTGCTGTAAAACCTATTGATAAATTCACTTGGGATCCATGAAAACGATAATGAAAACAAAAATATTAATAAACTCAATGAATCAGTGGTCGGTCAGTCGATAAGCAATCAAAGAAATCACTCGAAAGATAGTCAAATGAATCACTCAACAACTTTAGATTCAATTACGAATGAGCTCGAACTGGGAAAGTCAACGGCAACAGTCTGGCAACGCTTGGCGCAGGCCCGTCGGCCGCGCACGCGTCTGTCGATCCAACTGTATGTATGCGAGTGTGTGTGTGTGTGTGTAAGTGCGTGTTAAGTGGCAACCAGTTTGGCTTGTTGTTGTTTTTTTGTATTTTATTTTTATTTTTACCTTAACGACGGCTGCTGGGCCCCAAAAAGCTGTTGTTGTTGTTGTTGTTGTTGTTTTTCTCTTTCGTATTTTGGCCGCGACGGCGTCTTCGTTTGCTTTGCTTTTGGTCCGTTTGCTGTTGCGCGTTGTTTTTGGTGTTCGTGTTCGAGTTCGTATTATGTGTGTGTGTGTGTGTGTGTGTGTGTGTGCTTGTTGGCTTGAACTTGAGCTCTATACATATGTAATTGGCGCTGTTGTTTGTTGTTGCTGTTAGTTGGCTGTTGCTCTCTCTCTCTCTCTCACACTCTCTCGCTCTGCTAGCTTGCGTGACTGGGTGTGTGTGTGTGTGGTTCGTTGGTTGCATAACATGTTACAGCATCGCACGAAAATGAACAACAACAATAGCAATAACTATACAGCATGAAAGAAAGACAGAAAGAAGAAGTCGAAAGAAAGAAAAAAATAAAACCGAAACTGATGACGACACACGCCAAGTCTGCTGCGAGTGGTCATGTGTGTGTAGAGGGTTGGGGAGGAGCGGCGGGCGGCGACGGGTCTTGGGAAGTGGAGTGGAGAGCGAACGGGCAATGCCGTATTGAGCAGCTGTGTGTGGAGAGCTTGCGGCGCCGTCGCAGCCGCCATGTCCGTGTGCGTGCTGTTAATGTTGCCATTGTTGTAGCTGTTATTGTTGTTGTTGTAGCTGTTATTGTTGTTGCTGTTATATTGGTTAATGGCTGGAAAATTACATACATATGTACATACATACATATATGCATACATATAACATTTGGCTGTTATTTATATTTTTATTTTTGCAATATCATTCCCATTACAAGTAACTGCCGCTGCGTCGGCCCAAAATTAATTTTAGCTAACTGCGCTGCCGACGTCGGCATCGACATCGACGTCGACGTCGACGTCGCTGGCTAGACAAGCAGCAATTGAGCGAGCGCCTTTTGCTTTTGCTTTTGCTTGTGCTCTTTACTCTTTACTTATAGGTCAAGTTAAAAGTAAAAGTATTA